TGGTGTGCTGGTGAGATGTGCTCCCTCGGCAGAAACCACACAGGTGTCCCGGCAGAGAGCAGGGTCAGGGTGCCTTACAAGCCCGTCCCAGAGCAAACATAAATGTGACAATGTGTAAATGTGTTGTGCTTTGGTGGCCATAAGCCACGTTTATACAGGCATTATCTCACTTGATGGGGGAAATGTTTCTTCTTTCTTTAAAGAAGATTCCTATGAACATTTTAGATCTTTTCCTTAAAATGAGAGGCAGCATTGCTCTTTTTGTTTGTTTGGTTAACTAATCTGTAACGTTTTTACTTAAAATGAAATTTCATAAAAATGGGACCAATAATGGTAATTGACTCTGTTTAAAGAAAAAATATCTTATGAAAATAGACAAGTCTACCCACTGGTTAGAGATTTCTAATGGTTCTACAAGATATGTACTTCGTGTGCCATTTTAGAATGCCTTAATTTCTTCATTTGATCTATAATATTTTTAAAAATTTTAACGTTTTTATTTATTTTTGAAAGAGAGAGCGAGAGAGTATGAGCAGGGGAGGGGCAGAGAGAGAGGGAGACACAGAATCTGAAGCAGGCTCTAGCACAGAGCCCCATATGGGGCTCGAACTCATGAACTGTGAGATCATGACCTGAGCCAAAGTCAGACGCTCAACCTAGTGAGCCACCCAGCTGTGCCTGGTCTATAGTATTGATATTACATTGTGGTGGTATGTCCCAGTGTTGTTCAAATGGAAAGGTCCCATCTGGTAAGAATAAAAGTCCTGAGGCATGTGCAAACCAACTGTCTCTAAATCAAGTTGTTCATTCACTCATTCAATGAACTATTCTGTGCCACTTAAATAACATTAGTTGAGAGCTAAGAAAACCATTGGGTACAAGAAATAGAAAGAGGTATGTATGAACACAGATTATTCTTAATGAAGCCAGATATATGCTGACCTCAGGGTAAGAGTATATGAATGCAGAGAATATACATTCATAGCAATTAAAACTTGCAAGAAAACTGATTATTTAGAATAATTATACAAAATCAATAACTAAACATGAGTGATTATCGCTGATGGATACATATGCCCCTTTCTCTTGCCACACAGAGGTCACACCAGGTGACTCGTTGTGACCATGTATTTTAGAGACTGAAGGCAAGGTATTTCATTCAGGTCATGGTTTCAGGCACCCTCTCTCCTTTTAAGTCATGGATAGAAGTACCCTGAGTGCTCAGGCCAGCACTGAGAAGCATCCGGGCGCCTGGCTGGCTCAGTTGGTGGAGCAGTGACTCTTGGTCTTGGGGATGTGAGTTCGAGCCCACATTGGGTGTAGACATGACTTAAAAAAAATAAAATCTTAAAAAAAATAAAAGCATCTCAAAGAACATTTTGGGGGGAAAGGGCAGCTGGGGGCTGGTTGTATTTAAATCTTTTAAAAAAGTTTTTATTTATTTATTTTTAAGAGAGAGAGCGTGAGCAGGGAAGAGGAGTAGAGAGAGAGGGAGACAGAGGATCTGAAGCAGGCTCTGCGCTGACAGCAGAGAGCCTGACGTGGGAGATGAATTCATGAACTGTGAGATCATGACCTGAGCCAAAGTCAGACACTAAACCAGGCACCCCAAAGTTGTACTTAAATCTTAAAATGGAAGGGCTATGGGGAGAGAGAGAGCAGAGAGCCTCCCTCGACCCCACCCGCATTTTGATGGAAAAGAACTAAATGACTGTGGCTCCTTGCAGAAGTGTTGAACTCACACTTGACCTTTGGACTTCGCTCTAGGCTCTATCTTCTTTGTGAGGAAGAACTCCATTGCCAATACATGGTAGGGTAGGCGTCACCTCTGAGGATTGGAGCCCATTGCCCCACGCCCGGAATGTGCGCTAACATTTTCCCAGTGTGGACAGCCTGGGGACATTCAAACTGTTCTGGGTTTGCTTCCTGAACGGACTTTTGTCTTTGGCCCAAACAAGCAAGGGCCTGTAAGAAACTGGGTTTCCTAACCTTTTTCTTACCATAGCCTAGATCAAGTGCAGAATTTGCAAGGAAATAGGTACACATGAAAAGCCACCCAGAAGCCCTCGAAAGAAAGAATTTGAAGACTTTTCCGGATTCATGTAGGGCAAGGAGGAGTGCCAAAGAGGTAGAATTCCAGTTGAAGAATCACATCAGCTCTGATTATGCCAGCGCTTACAGTAGCTGCCATTCACCGGGGTGCTGAGTCGTTTCTCTAGGGTCTTTGCGTCCCCTAGCAGGGTCTTGGAAAATTGTTTAGACCCAAATACATCAGTTCTAAAAGAAAGAAAATTGCAGGGTGATTGCTAGTCACTCTGGCAAAGTAAAAGGCAACATGAAGCCTTTCCGTCTGGGAAGGGAATAGGCTATAAATCACCACGGCTCCTTGCACCAGAACAACCAGAAAGTTTGCCTGTCATTGGGAGTACAGCACGCCCTGGCCCCGTGGGCAGAGCGGGGAACACAAATGCCCCCACAGAAGAAATGGCAATTTTATGATTGGGCTCCGGCGCCCAGGGCTCTCGCCTCTCAAATTTAAGTCTTTAAAAAAAAGAATATGGGGGCACAGATTAACAGGCTTCTATCTCACAATGTGCTTTACCTAGCAATTGGTTGAGGTGGGGCTAAATCTGTACCAGACAGGAGATAAACACCAGGGCAGCACGAGGAACGGAAGACTGTCCTTGCCCTAGAGAAGAAGTCCGTGCCGTATTTAAGTTAAACTCGAGACACAGTTTTAAGCAGACCTGTCAGTCTGCCTTGGTGTGAGCTTTCTGCACTCACACGAGCTTTGCGTGATGTCACGAGGCAGGAATGAGCTAGGGGCCAGGCGGCAGCCTGTAGGGACTAAGGGCAGCGACGGAAGTAATTTTTCACAGGTGCATCGGAAGGGTTAGTAGCTGAGTTCTTAACGTAGCAGGCTACTTGTCCCGGGTACTGATTACAAAGTCAGGTTCTGCTCATTGTTTTAAAAATGCCTAAGTTAAAATAAATTCCAGTGATTCGATTATGTATACTCACAGCCTTCAAAATCCACACGTCTCACCTGAGATTCTACCATGTCTCAAGAGGTGGGCCAAAAATTGCTCAAGAGAAGTGGTAAAATACAATAAAAGCATACCAAGCACTTCAGCTGCGTTTTTCTTTGAGCCTTGGCCTGATGAAATAATTCTCTTGATGAAAGCAACTGGGGTTTTTTTTTTTTTAATGCTTACTTATTTTTGAGAGAGAGACAGAATTTGAGCAGGGAAGGGGCAGAGAGAGGGAGACACAGAATCCGAAGCAGGCTCCAGGCTCTGAGCTGTCAGCACAGAGCCCGGGGGGACCATGAGATCATGACCTGAGCCCGAGTCGGATGCTTAACCTACTGAGCCACCCAGGCAACCCTGAAAACAACTGGGTTTTTTACCAACTACCTCGGATCTACATTTTAATTGTCATTGGGAACAGGCAATTTGGAACTAAGGGTAAAAGGGAGAAGTTACTACTTCCGGATGGCTACCATTTTTGAATCCTTACTACGTTCCAGGCACTGGGGCTTAGAACTTTCCATGCATTATCTCATTTAAACCCTGAGACAACTCTGAATTACTCTCCTTATTCTATCACGGAGGACCACTGAGTGTTAGAGAGGTTAAAGTCCAAGGTCACATAGCTGGGGGTGGAAGTGAAATGAGGATGGGTGTTTGATTTTACAGCCCTTATATATTACATATGTCATCTCCTCGGCATACTTGGTATGGTGACAGCATTTAAAATACTGAGGATGATGGCTGATGGCATGCATACACTGCGCCCAAATGTCAAGTGATGGAGGGAACTTGTGACATTTAAAGGTGGGAAAGGCTAAGGTTTTATTCTGGGGAGCCGGCCAAATTTTCAGGTTTGCTGCCGGTTGTGGGTGAAGGGGAAACTGAAGGTCTGGCACGATAAGGCCCCAGTGCACGCATGCTGCAGCCCACGGTTCGGGCAGCCATGCAGCCACATGCTTCCATGTCCCCCGTTGCTCAGTAGAGATCTCTGTGTGCTAAGGGGAACGGCTCGGGGAGGAGCACTGAGGTCGAAGCACAGTTCTTTGGCTGCACGATACGGTCACAGAACGGTGTTAAGGACTACCAGCTAGGACAGCCTCCCCAGACGTGTGGCTTCTGTTCTGGCGGTCCCTGCCGGACTCGGCACTGATGAAACGAGACAAACACCTCAGGTGCCATAGGGGCCTTTGGCCAAAGTTTGCTTGGTTCTCGTTTCATGTGCTGTATTTATTTAAGTAAGAGATTCTGCCATATAACCAATGTCTTGGCTAAGGAGAAACTCACGCCTGTGTTTTCCCTTAGGAATGTTTCAAGTGGTCCCGCAGTAAAGCCCAATGATATGGGACTAAGTGAGCCTGTGGATGCAGACTGAACGCATGCAGCCCAGAGATAGCATACCTCGTTTTCTGTCCACCTCTGTCCATTCATCTACATGAAGCATATAAAAAGAAAACACCAGTTCATGAAGCAAGAACATTCTTTTCAAGGAGGCTTTAAAAATACCAATTCCAATGACCTGGCCTAGGGAAGTTTATTTTGCACGTGGGCAGTAATGTCTAATGCAGATACTCTACCTTCGATTTGAAACCTTGGAAAGGATGCTGGGTTAATAACAAGTTCCAAAAGGGCCCTGGAGAGGCTATGTCTTCTAGAGGGAGGCCTCGTGGGAGAGGAAACCCAGAGGAAACACCCTGGGGTGGATCTCAAAAGGCCCAAGGAGTCATTTTCTCTAATGCTATGAGAATACACATCATTCAAAGGCTTTTACAAACACTAATTTTCATGAGGAGGAATCCCAAAAACAGGTAGGGAGAGGATTTTCTTTTTCTACAACTCGATTTTTTTTTTAATTAAGGTAAGAGTTCCCTTTCCAGAGTGCAGATGGAACTGTTCCAGAATAGAAAACTTGAAAGGTGAACTAAAAGGAAAAAAGTGTCCATTTGTTTCTGATTTACTTTTTACACACAGATGCATGACTTCCATGTAAAAAAAGGGGAGAAATGAGGGGGCCACTGTAAAGAAAGCGCCAGAGGACAGAGGCTGCTGGGGACATGCCAAGAGGAAACCAAATGAGGAGAAAGGTACTTGGCTGGAGACTCTTTGCAGGCTGAGACCGGGCTCTACCATTTACTAGCTATGTAACTTCAAGCAATTTATTGAGCCTCAGTTTCTGCATCTGTAAAATGGGGATCATAACTACATCAACCTCACAGGGTTGCTGTGGGGTAGAAATGGATAACACTCACTGAGCATTTAGCCGGCTTCTCTTCTGGCTCTGCTTTCTGAACCGCACAATTTTGGACACCACCCGTAAAGGATGAAACATGGCTTTTTGCTTTCCTTAATTTTGGGGGGGGGGGAGATTTCAATGTAGAACTCCAGTACCACCCCCTCTAAGCAGGGCTCTACATGCACCCACATCTTATTTTATTTATTTTTTACATCCACGTTTTAAAAAACGTTTTGTAATTAATGGTCTCTTTTGGAAACATTTGCACTAGGTTGTTTCAGAGGTGATTTCTGCCTTCAATATTCAGCACCAACAGCACTTAAGAAACCAGTTTGAGAGCACAGCCAGGGCCATGCCCTAACTGGTGGCAAAAGGTTCCCACTGCGAGGTTAGACTCCTCTGGGAAAAGTCACCATCTTTTCCCCACAAGTCACAGGCTTTTGGGGAGAAAACATTGGGGAAGCAGCACCAAGAACCTGGTCTGCAGATACCGGTTCCTTTGGCATAATGTCCACATCTTCTGTATTTTGGTGGCATTTATTTTACAGGCAGTCTTGCTTGATGAGTTCGTGGGCATTCAGAGGGGTGGTGCTGCAAGGGGCTCGTTCCTCTAAGGGACAGTGGCTCCCTGCTGCTGGCAAAGTGGAGCTGGGCAAAAGCGTGTTCTGGGTACGGGCACTCCTGCAGGCAATGACACTCAGCTCCAGCAGAGGTCGCTCTAGTGCTGCGCTCGCCTTGTCCCAGTCCTGAGGATTCGGGGAAGGTAAAAACCATGTCCTGTCTTTCCGTTATTTTTCCAGGTGACTTGGTTGCGACAATTTCACTTTAGTTACATTTTGAGTGGGAGGAAGGCTCAAGGTTATCCAGAGCCACTTGCCAAATTGGAACTAGAAAAATAAAAACAGGATCCCACCCCCATTTGGTTGTTTAGTAAGTACTACACTGTGATCTGCTTGCCCTGAAAAAAAAAAATCACTTACTGTCTCTCTGTCTCAGTTTCCCCTTCTGTAAAATGAGGAATGTACACAGAATGTAATAGGGTCTTATTTATGAGTATTTTTTAAAGAGGACAGGAGTGAGGCAAAGGCAGCTTTTATTATTCTTGCTATTGCTTAAAACATGGGACGACATTCATATGCAACACTTAAAAATTGCCCCAGAGAGAGGGCACTTCCTTTCTGTTGAATGCTAAACCAGAGGCTGTGCTGTGGCGAAAAACTGCAATATACGCGCGGGCCTTGTGGGAGCGGGACGGCCTCCAGGAGACCAATTAGTCCTGTAAGATAATGAAAACACCTAGAAGAAATATGATTTCCATTCACGGCATCATTGAGGATTTGTTTACCGTGTCTGGTGTTTTATAGGCCTCAGCGCGCCAGTAATTGTCACAGCGGCTCCTGCAGCTACGCCAACTCTCAGTGGTGGGATCAAGGGGGGGTTTCTCAGCTTTTTGAATGCTCCACCCTGTTTTGTCACTGTCTTCTTTAAGTCCCCATGAGCCAGCTACTCTCTGTCGTTTCTTTCATAAAATCAGTGGGCACATTGGAGGCTGTTTTCAAAGCTCTCCCTCTCTTCCCCACCTCCCATCCTCCTACCCCCAAAGATTCTGATACAGCTCCGCGCCCCACATAGGGAAGCAGTTGAAGACAAAGTCATTACGAGTATGAGTGCTGGAGCCCGATGGCCTGAGCTCAAATCCTTTACTCTTCCTCTTCCTGGCTATGTAACCCTGGGCAAATTAACTCTAACTTCCCCAACTGTAAAAAAGGGATAGTATTACCTAAATGATAGTATAGTTGTGGGGATTAATAAGGTCTTCAGAGAAGTCCTTGGTACACAGTAAGTGCTTAGTAAATGTTTATTGTTGTTAGGAAGATATAGCCCCCAGCCACCTCCCCCCTCCCCCCTCCCCCCAGAGGAGACTGATCCAAAGCCCCGCCTCTGGTGAATGCACTGATATCTGACACTCACCCAGACTGTGGAAAGAAGGAACCAGTAAGTCAATGTGAATGGCTAAAGATGGCCGAAACTCCCTAAAGCTGCATTTAGCCAACCCAGAAGGACTACAGCTCCTGAAAACAAAGGAAACCAGACCCTTCGGATTCACAGGGTCTTGCCCAGACCCTCTCTTGAAAGCCAGCACCTGCCCCTCGTTGTGCAAAATAGGTTGACTACCTGATCTCATTCAATTCCTACAACTTTGCTGTGAGTATGTATGATGCCCACTTTACGGAAAAGGAAACGGGCTTATCGAGGTTACACTCCAAGATCATACAACTGGTTCCAGGGCAAGGCTGGAGTTGGAACCCAACTGTATGATCCCGGTGAGTATGCTCTGAACTGCTACTTTATGCTGTCTTCCAAGATGCACACCGCCGGGGCAAGAACTACCTGTCAGCTCACTTGTGCCATTAGAGGCCCAGTGAAATCACAGAATATACATGCCAAGGAAAACAGAACCCTCTTGAGGAAGAAATGGCAGTGTCATATAAAAGAGCCAATTTAGATCATCAGTTCAACAAATATTGACCGAACACCAGTTTACTCTGCCCTTTAGGCACTATGCCAGGTGAGGAATAAGGCCGTCACGTGTGGGGAAGACACCCAGACTGTTTCAGTGGAACGTGGCCAGTGATAGGGCAGGGGAAGCGTGCATGGAGTGCTATGGAGTATGCTCAGACTCTGTCCCCCATCTTCCTGAAAGGGATGATTCTTAAGCTGAAACTGCAGGATGGAAAGGGGACTATTAGCAGAGCAATGGCAGGTCTGGGGTAGAATGGGGATGACTAGCATGGACATATGAATGCGCATGCTTTAAACGTAGACCTATTATTAAGATACACAGCAGGAGGCAGGCAGTGGTGGAAGGGAGGACTGCAGAGGTGGAGAGAGATCGGGTCAGCAAGGGCCCTGAAATGTCCTGCCAAAGACTTGGTCTCCATTCAAGCAGCAGTGGAAAGCTGACAAAGGGTTTTAAGTAGCGGGGAGTATGGGCAGATTTGCATTTTAGAAAGCTCACAGGCGGCCGTGTGCAGAATGAATGGAGGGGGCATGCTGCAGGGAGCTCTTTTTATCTCTTTGTGCATGGATTTGGATTCAATCACACAGACACAACAGTGAATATCTGAATATGTATGCTTAACATCCGAATACGCACATTTCAGATCAATTGAGCGTACAGACTGTTGGAGAGAATACTTTTTTTTTTTTTTATCTTGGGGCATGTCAGTTACCTTTATATCAACTTTTCTTTCTCTACCTGGAAATATATATTTCTTTCATACTTAAACCCAGGAAACTTGGTGAAAGTGGATGTTGGTTGAGGGGAAGGAAAAGAGGGAGAGGATGAGGGTGGCAGAGAGTTCTGGGTGGTCATTTCTCTGGAGAGTAGATGTGGTGTATATGGGTGGCAGATTCTGCATTTTAGAAACTCTCATATAATTATTTCCAGAACTGCCTTCTCTTTCAATAATTGTGAAGAGAATAACTTAAAACTCACCTATGTTTTCTTATTTATCTGTTATTTCAGAATTCTACCTTTCTAGAAATAGCTTCTGAAATGAGCAAGACTGGCCTCCAGCTTGTGCAGGAGGGCACTACACAGACGACAGGAGAAGCCACACCTCGTTGGGGTGGGGGAAGAGGATGCTTGGACTGGCAAAGGGTGTATCGCCAGCTGGTGGGCGGCTGGGACTCCTACATTTGGAAGGGACCGCTTGTCAGGAGAGATTGGGAAATCGTCTCTCCAATTTGAGGAGGGAGGAAATTGGAGGTGAGGGTGTCAGGTCCCCTAATAATACACCTCATCGCGGGTATTCAATCCTTCTGCTGCGAAAAAATCTTCTTCGAGAATTTGACTCCTGGAGGAGCTCTGACCTGATGGGGCTGTGGCGTTGTGAGAAAGGTCCCTGGCTATAGGAACGCGGGGTGCGGCCGTGTTGGTCAGCCTGCAGGGGGGCCTGGCTGCGGGGCGTGGGGCTGGCTGCGCGGGCCTGGCGCCTCTCACCTTTGCGGGCCTTGTCTCCCGGGATGTTCTGGGCCCGCAGCCGCTGGTCCAGGATGTAAAGCATCTCCCCGCCCAAGTTCAAGAAGAGCAGCGGTAGCGTCCGCACCGACATGGTGCCAGATGCCACAGTGGGGCAAGTGCCGAGACCCGGGGCTGGGTAGCGCGAGGCCTGGATGCCCGGCCGCCGCGTCCCCTTGCTTGGTTGTCAGGGCAACGCGGCGGCTGTCCGGGAAAGCCAATCAGCGTGCTCCTTGTTGGGAGGCGGTCGAGACGGACGCTCATTGGGCGGGCGGCTGGCGCCTCGGTGGTGGATTGGGCCTCTCGGTTCGAGCGGGGGGTGAGTTCCCAGCTGGGGTGGCAGAGCTACCCCTGCCGGAGGACGCGGGAAGCCCGCGCGGGACTTCGGAGTGGGCAGCCGGACCTGGGCTGGGGTCCTGGCTCCGCGAGGCTGGCCTTCCCCGTCCGTGTCGTTCAGGGGTCACCCGCCTCACAGGGTTGCAGGGAGGAATCCCCGAGATCGTGCAAAATGCCACGAAAGCCCTCAGTTATCTTTTGGGTGGGCGAAGGCCCAGAAGACCTTAATTAGCGTTTCTGCCCTAAAAGCGACTTTGGATTGAAGTCCCCCTCTGGCTTCGTGCCGCGAGAAGCAAACCAGGCGTGTCTGTCCGCTCCGGGAGGAAGAGTGCTGGGGCTTCTCTGAAGCTCCCTCTTTTTTTTTTTTTTTAATTTTAATGTGTTATTTATTTCTAGGGGAGAGAGAGAGAGAGAGAGCGTGAGCAGGGGAGGGTCAGAGAGAGAGGGAGTCACAGACTGAAACAGGCTCCAGGCTCTGAGCTGGCAGCACAGAGCCCGACGCGGGGCTCGAACCCACGAACCGCGAGATCATGACCTAAGCGAAAGTCGGACGCTTAACCGACTAAGCCACCCAGGCGCCGCCTGAAGCTCCCTCTTTAAATGCGGTTTAGCAGTTGACTCCTGTGCAGGTCTCTGCTTTGAGGGCAGCGACCGTACTTCACTTGCGTCGTGAGGTCCAGCTTCACCTTCCTGTTACCTGCTGTACGTTTGTACTTCGATGAGCAACCATTTCTGTAAATTTCAATACTTCTAAAACCTACGAATCCACTTTCCCACCAGCCGCTCAGACTTGAAATCTGAGCCTTGGCCAACAACTCTGGTCTCCTCGGGTCCTATTATCAGCCACCACTTCTGCTTTTACCTCCCAAGTCTTTCTCCCATTTAGCTCTTCATTTCTTTTTCTGCCTGCATTAGTGTTTTCTCTCCACGCGCACTGGCTGCTAGGCAAAATTTCAGCAGTTGCCATTTTCAACCCAACGCATCCCTTCTGTGCTTCCCAACTGTTTGCCAGATCAGTCTAAATGCCTGGTATGGCATTCAAGGCTCTCCACTCTGACTCTACCTACCTTTCTAGAGACGTCTTCTGCACTCCCCCATTGCTCCCTAATTTGGCAGAACTCATCTGTCTCATCAACGTCGCCCCCTCAATGGAACATCACCTCTTCTTTATAACTGCACCTACTACCACAAAGTCCTTCTCTATCCCCTTCCCTTCCCAGTCATGTTTCTGAAAGTAGTCCAGGGGCACCTGGGTAACTCAGCTGGTTAAGCATCTGATTTAATCTCAGGTCATGATCTCAGGGTTTGTGAGTTCAAGAGCCACTCTGGCTCTGCACTGACAGCTGGGATTCTCTGCCCCTGTCTGCCTCTCCCCTGCTCTCTCAAAAATAAACATTAAAAGTTAAAAAAAAAAAAGTCTACACTCCCAGCTTGAATTTCCTTAACATCTTCACTCCCTACCTCACTACAACTTGGATTTAGGTCTCTCCATCCCACTGAAACCACTTTGCCATGAAGCCTTTTTGGATTGGATACAATATAGTCATTGAAAGCTGG